CTTCACAGAAGCAAAGCCCAAACCACACCCACTGCCGTGGAGTCCATTCTGACCCACAGCGCCCCTAGAGGACAGAGTGGAACTGCACCACAGGGTCTCCAAGGCTGTCAATCTTCACAGAAGCTGACAGCCTCATCTCTCTTCCACAGAGCAGTGGTAGGTTCAAACCTGTCAGCAGCCAAATGCTTTAATCACTACACCATCAGAGCTCCTCAATATAAAGCCAGATAATATTAAATGTAAATAGGATTTTACTTCAATATTTCATTTCATAGATTCAATTTTTCTTGTTAATCCTTTTCCAAATGTGTTTATTTAACTAAACAGTACCTGGTACATGGATTACATTTATGGAAAAATAACTATCATTCAAGACTATAAGAAATGTTGATAGGCGAAATATTTATTTCTTTACTATAAAGTATATCAACATATTGAATAACAGAGCAAGGCCAAAATAATATTGCATAATCCTTGCTAAATCCAGAGGAGAAGCTCACTGACACATGTCACTGCTTCAAATGAAAGACAAGAACTAAGAGTTGCTAGCTGTAACAAGGAGATTGCTAGAACTGGCCCAAACATCTCTGCAGGTAGGAACCACACAAGGACAAATAACGTTTAACCTTTACAACCATCACATGATGTTACCATCACTAGCATTTTCCTTTACAACTCTGAAAACCCAATGTTAGAGAGATCAAGATCCAGAACCGATGGAGCTGGGATGAAATTCCAGGTTTTCTGACCCATGCTCAGTATTTCAACGACGGATGTCGAAGTGACTCGAATTAAAGTCCTGGCTGCGCCACTAATCACTTTCTAGTTCTTAGGGAATATTTAAGGAACTCTGGTGGTGTAGTGGGTAAGGAGGAGGGCTGGTAGCATAGTGCCTGAGGCATTTGACTGCTAACCAGAAGGCTGGCGGTTCTAGCCCACCAGCCACTCCTCGGAAGGAACGTGGGGCAATCTACTTCCGTAGTGATACTGCCTCGGAAACCCAAGGAGGGGTCGCTATGAGCTGGATCCGACTCGATGGCAGTGAGTTGAGTGAGTGGGTAAGGCATTTGGCTGCTAACCAGAAGGTTGGTGGTTCAAACCCACCAGGTGCTCCACAGGAAGAAGATGAGGCAATCTACTCCAGTAAAGATTTACAGCTTTGGGGGCTCTTAACGAGCATCTCTATGAGTCAGAATCAACTCAATGGCAGTGGATTTGTTTTTGGCCTCAATTTCCTTCCAGTAATGTTACAGTAAGGATAACCAAAAGTGCTAACTAAACAAATTCTTAAAACCACAAAAAAACCAAACTCATTGCTGTGCAGTCGCTTCTGACTCCTGACGACGCCGTGCGACAGAGCAGCACTGCCCCGTAGGGCTTTCTTGGCTGTCCTCCTCACAGAGCCAGATCATCGGGTCCTTTCAAACCCACCAGGTGCGTTAGAACCGCCCACCTTTTAGTAGCAGCTGAGCACTTAACCACTGTGCCACCAGGAGTCAAGCTCATTTTAACAGGAGGCAAATCAATATGCGAATATGTGAAGTGGGCCAGGTGGGACTTCCTCAAGTTGGAGAGTACGTGTCTGCCTACACCTGGTCCCTGCTCACATCAAGTCAACTACGGCCCAATGTTACCAACCAAAACCAAACTAAACTCTGCCGTGGAGACGGATCCAACCATTAGAGACCCCTCCTTGGGTTTCCAAGGTGGTATCATTACAGAAGTAGATTGCCCAACCTTCCTTCCAAGGAGTGGCTGGTGGGTTTGAACCTCCATCCTTCTGGTTAGCAGTCAAATGACTTAGGAACAATGCCATTAGAGCTCCCCCAATGTTACCAGCTCCTCCCTACTTTTTAAGAGAAGCATTAAATCTGGATTTTTATGTAACACTGCCTATTTTTTTTCTTAATTATGATTTGGATGAAAGTTTACAGAGCAAATTCACTTTCCATACAGCAGTTCACACACACTTTGTCTCATGACATTGACCACAATTTCCCACAATGCACATCTCCCCTCTCACTTCCTCCCAACAGTTACCTCTTCCCTGTGTCCATCCCTCCATGCACTACTGCCCCCTGAGCTGTCTCCCTGTGCATAAGCAACACTGCCTAAATTTTAAGTTTAATTCAAATATTTTAAAACACTGGACAGGACACACATGCCAGCCAAACCTAGTCAGTTTGCTCCTGCCGCGTTAAATGGTCCCCCACAAAGCCACTCAAACTCAAATCTGGATAGAAACTGTCAATGTCCAGGCACATGCCCTCCATGAATCAAAAAATATTGCAATGGTACCTTTTATCTTTTAGATACAGGTGTGTTTAGATATTTTCAATATAGAAATAAGTGGAAAATAAATCACACTATTTGGATCTCACCTTTTGTTTTAACTCAATTAAATGGAACAGAGAAAATCACCTCTGAATTCTACATTCCAAGAGGTAATCACTTTTGTAAAGCTCACTGACTCACACATTCCAACCGAGAAGTGACACTCTGGATTTAAAATATATCCTGGGGTCAAGTCACTACTGAGTTAAAGTAAAGATTCTATTTCTGTCTCCAAAGTACTAAATGATAGATGGCAGTTAAAACAGAAAATAAAATTGACAAGTGTTTTCAAGATAATCAATATTTTCATGACATGATGACCGCATTAGTCAGCCAGCAATATCATCTATACGCATATATATATATGTATTTATGTGTGTGTGTTTGTATCTCATCTAGCTGCCTTCTTCACTTCCTGTCTCATACTTGTTAAAATAAACTTTTAACATATATTTCAGTGAGAACATTCATGCCCAAAAGGTTTAATTCTTTTTTCTGTAACTCAATCTTTTTAAAATAAAACTGAACAATATGTTAGATTGTTGCTGAATGTTAGGGAGCACTTGTTAGAAGCAGAATTAATTCAGTTTATAAACGTATAATAGCAGTTACTTTGTAGAACTGTGTAACCGAGGAGGTCTGGATGAGCATGTGTGGCTGTAGTTCAGTTTGTGTGTCAACTTGGCTGGGCCCGGGTGAGTGGCTGGGCAGCTGGATGTAGTAGTATTCCCCACGATGAGACTGGCAATCAACTCCATGGTGGGATCCACTGTGAGCAGCTGAGTGGCGGCCTTAGGGATGTGGTCTGTTTCCTGTATATAAGGAGAAGCCCTGGGGAAGGGTCTCTAGCTTATGGCACGCTTGGACCCTGCATGTAGCCATGTCATTGCTCAGCAGCCTGCCATGCTCTGCCGACTTTGGGACTTACAATGGACTTGAATTAATGGCCTGCCATGTGGTTTGGTAACATCGGGACTGTGCCTTTTGACTTGTCAACCTTGGGCTTGTCAGCCTCAGCAGCCA